TGAGACAGAGTCTCGCTCCGTCGCCAGGCACCAGGCTGGAGTGAAGTGGTGAAGTGGTGTGATCTCGGCTCACTGCAACCTCTGCCTCCTGGGTTCAAGCAGTTCTCCTGCCTCAGCCTCCCGAGTAGCTGGGACTATAGGCACGCGCCACCACACCCAGCTAATTTTTTTTTGTATTTTCAGTAGAGACGGGGTTTCACCATGTTGGCCAGGATGGTCTCCATCTCTTGACCTCGTGATCCTCCCGCCTTGGCCTCCCAAAGTGCTGGGATTACAGGCATGAGCCACCATGCCCAGCCTGTTTTACTCTTAACAAATAGATACAAGCCATGCAAAAGTACATAAATTAAAAAGCAAAATATCACAGAAAAATATCACAGAAGTAATACAGGAAGTGAAACGTTACGCAGGTAATACACAAATACAGGAAACATACAAGGGGAAACCATTCAAGTCTTCCTCTGCCTCCTCCACAGTTAACCACTGAGAACTGCTTGGCATTTGGGCATCGCCGGCCATCAACAGGAAAACTCATCCGGACAGCTGGCTGGCCTTTCTCCTTTCACCAGATGTTGGCAAAGCTGGGCCCAAGATAGAGAAGGGCTGACTTCTAACTCTCTTTCCATGTATTTTTATCTACTTATCCTCACATTGCGTATATATGATTATATATATGTATATCTCCTTTATTTTCTGTGCTATAAATAGGATCATATAAAACACTTGGTACTTATTTCTTTTACATGATATTCTACTTTGAGTTTCTTTTTAAAATAAAACTATAAAATGAATAAAAACTTAAAGTTCACAGAAGGGCAAAAAGTAAAAACAAAAACAAAATCCTTTTCTTCATTGTATCCCTCCATTCCCACTCCCCAGAGCACACAGATAAATATATTTTCATGTATCCTTTTAGAAACGATGATTGTAAATGCATATACAAGCTCTTAAACACATGCATACTTGATCTGTACACTTTATAATAAGACAGAACTCAGAGAGGTCAAATGGCACACCCAAGGTCACACAGTAGACCGGGGCAGAGGCAAGTGTAAAGCTCGGTGCCCCGCCTTCCAGAGGGCCAAGGTTCCTCCACTGCGTCTCCAACAGGTTGGCCCAGAGCCAGTCTCAGCTAATGTTCCTCATTCCTCCCTGCCTTCGACCTTGTCTGACAGCCTGGTGACTCTTCTCCATGTTGTCCACGCCCCTTCCCCTCCCACAAATGCCCCTGGCTCAGTGTATTACCAGCCTGCACTTGTGCTGCTCCACTCCACTGGGCGGGCCCCTCCTGATGGCTCATTTCAGGAATGCCTGCCATCTCTGTCAGCGCTGCCCTCACAGAACAGTGCAGTGGCGCCTGGCAAAGTGGTTCAGTGGGCTTGTGTTTGTGCTTTTGTTCCCCAAATTACAAATGACAATTAGATGCAAAAGACCCTTTGTGAAGATAATTCCATTTATGTAACCCCTTCCCCTGCCAGGAACCGACATCCCATCTACACTCTGTGCTAAGCTTCGGGTCCACCCGTCTGGCCTTGGGGAGTTTGCAGCTGGATGGGGGAGGACGGGCACATGTGCTGATAACCTGCCTGTGCTGCCTCTCTCTTCTCTTTGTGTGTGTCAGCTTTATCTGTTGTGGGTCCAGATGTGTCTACAGCATTGCCAACATCTGGTGAAAGGAGAAAAGTCAGCCAGCCCTCCGGATGCATTTTCCCATTGATGGCCGAGGATGCCCATCTGCACATCTGGGAAACATGCAAATTGTCAGATCACACATGCTGTACACTCACATATGTGGTCCTGCCGCCTTCCATGACATGTCCACTGGGGCACGCAGAGCCTGGACCTGTGAACTCTCCCCCAGCCAGGACTGGTCAGCTCAACTTGACCTCACCAATGATCATTTTGTTGCAAGGAGAAAAGAGGAAAGCCCAGAACTGGACACTGGGTATGGGGAGGGTAGAGTTTTGGGGGGAAGGCAGCGGTGGTAAGGAGCTGACAGCTAGAGAAACTGATGTTGAACATGAAGTCTCTTGACTTCACAGAGATGGAGCCTGGAGGGTTTGCCTCTGGTGGGGAGCTTTGGAACAGGGTGCTGTCTTCCTGGACCCTTTCCCTTTTATTCACGGCCACTCAGGCAACAGTCTTACTTCCTGGGAAACAAACCCTCCTGAGATCCCTGATTCTGCAGCGCCCTCTCGTGGGCAACTGGAATCTGTCTGGAGAGGAAACCTCAGGACGTGGGCAAGTGGTCCTAAGTCACACGTGTGCATTCATGGATTTTAGAATCGTATATTCAAGCTCTTCCACCTGCTCCCACCCACTGTGATACGAAGTCCTAAACGAACATCTGGTTATTTGTATATACGGGTTGGACCCTGGTGGAAATCTGTTAGGAGAGAGCAAAGGACTGAGGATGGGGCTCAAGGGTGGAAGGCGGTGTGGACAGCAACTAGAAAGAATGCAAAATGGTGACGTGTGTGTGTGCAAGTGCGTGTGTGAGAAATCCTGTGCTAAACAGACTCTGCCACGTTTCCGAATGATTTTGGCACACCCTCTTTACGTCCTCCAGCCTTAAGTCAGGACACCCTCTTTAGTTTCCTTCTGTGCTCCGGAGAGTTTTGTCCAAGCCTTCACAAGCCTGGTGAAGAGGGGAAAGTACGGACTCAACAGAGGGAAAGAGGTTCCAAGAGTGTGTGGCCTCAGGCTGGTAAAACCCCAGGTGTGAGTTTCCCGGGTGAGTCGTGTGCCTCCCCAGGCTTGCTGGAAATTAAATACGATCCGGTTGGAAGGCCCTACGCCAGGTCTCCTGGCCTTGCTGACTCCCGGTCCTGGGAGATGGAGACTCGGTGCCAGCCTGGTCCCTGCTTTCCACCCACCCACACCATGAGCCTCTCCTTCACTGCAGAGCTGGCAGCCAGGCCCTACTCCTTCTCTCAGATTCTTCTTCCCGTTCCTCCTCGCATCTTAAAGATGACATCCTCACTCCCATCCTGGTCTGTCTCAGTCCCCAGGGTATTTTTGCCTTCCCAGCCTGCCTCAGCTTCTTCCTCCACCATCCCCTTCCTATCACTCCTTTCAGAAGAGAGTCTCCCCCGCCCTCCTCCTTCCATCCGCCCAACTGGCTCATCCCCTGCACGTCACCCCTCTGTCTGTCTACTGCATCCCAGCCCCACCTTAGATAAGGGACGTCATCATCCAGGTTATGATCTGGCTTCTTCACCTCCCCCTTCCCCCACCATGGACTTCCAACCCTTGGGAAAAAAAAGTGCCGGCTACAATCCCATTGGAACGTGCCTGGTTCCAACCCCATGATGGCAGCCTTGGGGAAAGGTGCTTTACGCTGTCAAGAAGAGAACCTAGCAGGACTGACTGCCAGGTGGAGGATGCCCAAGAAATCTGGGGTTCACAGGGGCTCACAGTGTAGCGCAGATGGAAATGCCCAGCTCAGATGGAGGAGGTGAGGCCTACCCTGCCCTCTGCCCATGGCCGCTCCTCGCCACAGCATGTGCTGACAGAGACTTTGCTGCCTCTGCCGTTCCCTCCTGCCCAAACGGGGTCAGACGCAAACAGAGGCTGGTACACAGAGACAGAGGGAGCCAGGGTGAAGAGAAGTGATGCAGACGCATGAAAGCCTGGTACAGCAAGGAGCTGCACCACAGTGGGGGAGGAATGTCAAACACTTGATGTCTCATTTCACCTCACAGCAACTGTGACCAAGGGATGGCATCAGCCCATTTCACAGATGAAAAAACACGTGGGGAGGCATCCAGGGTCACACTGCCAGGGTGACCAGGGTGTGGCTGAGCTGAGCTTCCAGGCTTAGCCTGCTTCATCCCCAAGCACTCGGCCTTTCCATAACACAGAGAGGCACATAAAGAGGCTGCCTCCATCCTGGTTCTCAAGCAACTCAGCACACAGAGAGAAGGAAGAGGCCAATGTACAGAGCCCAGAGAGGCCTGGAGGGATGCACCGGGACAGGGAGGGAGATGGGAAGACAAAGACACAAGGAGGGGCAGGGAAAGATGCTGCTTATTTCTCCCTATGCAAATGGACTTTGCAACATACATATTCCAGGTTCCATACCCAGATCGTCAGAATCAGAATTTCTGGAGCGGGACCAAGGAACGTGCATTTAAAGAAGGCTCCTCCAAGTGGCAAGGGGTGCCGAGATATCTGCACCTAACTTGAAAATGCACCCAAAAAACCAGATAAATTGACAGATGGAAGAGGGAGGAGGAGCTGATGGATAATAGGTGATAAACAGAGCAAAATCTTAACTGAGGAGTTTGGCAAGCAGGTAACGCTGTTCACTGTATGATTCTTCTCACTTTGTTTGAACGACTTGACAAGATGCCAGAGAAACACGCTTCCAACTGACTGTGATGATTGGGCAGGTCTGAGACCATGATGTAGGAGAAGCCTCCCTCGGAAAACTTTTGGAGGAGTGGCTGCCCTCTGCCCCCTTGAGCCCCATCCCCATGCTCCAGCCTCCAGCCACCAGCCTCTGGTTTCCTCAGTTTCACAGCAACCCAGGAATGCACAGCAGACTGAACAAGGCACTGTCCCTTCCCCTGAGTTCTAGAAGAATTTCATCTGCCCCTTGGGGTCTCCTGTTCTCCGTGTTGAGCAGGATTAGACAATCCCTGGGCTTTGTCTTATTGGGTGAGTTGTCTGAGCTGGTCCCCGTGGGGGCACTTATACTAATGCGATGAAGCAGACCCATGGTGTGGATTTGGGGCAGAGCTTGGAGAGGTGAGGCTAGAAATTCTCTTGGAAAAATTTGAAGCCGAACTTCTCGCAATGGCCTGTGAGCACCTTGGCCTGAGCTGGAGAGCCGCAGAAGAAGACCTGCACCTTGCCCTTCTTCTCAGCAGCAGTCAGTGAGGATGGGGAAAAGAAGAAGGAGGATAGGTGGGGCTGCTGACTCACCAGTGACACAGCCGCCTGGAGGTAACGGCATAACTGGTCAGCAGCAATGAGTATCCCTATTTTACACAAAGAGCTGCATGGCATAGCTTCTGGGTTTTACAGCAGAGTTTGACACTCAGCCGTTCAATTAAGAGCCATTTGTTCAGCTGGGCACCGTGGCTCACGCCTGTAATCACAGCACTTTGGGAGGCCAAGGCAGGCGGATCACAAGGTCAGGAGTTTGAGACCAGCCTGACCAATATGATGAAACTCTGTCTCTACTAAAAATACAAAACTTGGCCAGGTATAGTTGCTGGACACCTGTAGTCCCAGCTACTCGGGAGATGGAGACAGGAGAATCGCTTGAACCCAGGAGGCAGAGGTTGCAGTGAGCCAAGATGGCACCATTGCACTCCAGCCTGGGTGACAGAGCGAGACTCCGTCTCCAAAAAGAGCCATTTGTTTGACTGGCAACATGACCCCACGTAAAGGACCAGGGCCAGAAATAAATAAGACCCAGGCCGTCCACTCAAGGATCTGCAACTGTGGGAGATAGGCACTAAATCAGACAGGCAGAGAAGCATACGGTGCTCTGAGGCTCCCATGGGCAGATGGAACTTGGTGGTAGTCCAGGGCTGGCCACCTGCTGTGATTTAAGTATCTTTCCTGACGTCAGTCTTTTCCCCCAGTGACGACCCTTTTCTACCCCAAATTCTTCTTACAAATTGCCATTCTCTGAAAGTTCTCTTTAAAGCTGGGCCTTGTGGCTCACGCCTGTAATTCCAGCACTTTGGGAGGCCGAGGAGGGTGTATCATGAGGTCAGGAGTTTGAGACCAGCCTGGCCAATAAGGTGAAACCCCATCTCTACAAATATATATATGTATATACAAAAATTAGCGAGGCATGGTGGCCGGCGAGTAGTCCCAGCTATTGGAGGCTGAGGCAGGAGAATTGCTTGAACTCGAGAGGCAGAGGTTGCAGTGAGCCAAGATCACGCCACTGCTCTCAAGCCTGGTTGACAGAACAAAAAAAAAAAAAAAAAAAAAAGAAAGTCCTCTTTGATGTCCAAGCACTCATCACTGACCTTCCCCTCCCACTCAGGTGTCGTGATCCAGGTATAGGGTCATCTGCAGCACTTCTAAAAGCAGTACCTTCTGGGTCACTTCCTGTAAACTGTATACCCTGACAGGTAAGTGTCCAGGGAAGAAAAATAGTCATAAAACCAATCTGAGAAATAAAATTAAAAGATTTGCAAACAATTTCATGTCTCTGAACCTCAGTTTCCCCATTTGTAACAGGAGAGGATAAGATTTGGTGTTTTTCCAGGTCCCTGTCTGCTCAGGCCTTCTGACACTGGTCCATAGGGAGTTAAGTCTGCAGGGGTCTTTGAGGTCATAGAGACTAACTTCCTCTCTGAACAGATGGGGAACCTGAGGCTAATGACGGAATAAAGGCTAGTGATGAAGCCAGTGTGGGTGCCCTGTTCACCTTTTGCACCAGGAGGCCCCGTCTGGACTCTGGACTGTAACCTCACACTTTGCCCCTGGCTGCTTGGCTCATCTCCCAATCACTGCCTCAGGCTCTCAGCTTCACCCATACCTGCAGGCTGCAGGGCTCACAGCTGGCATTACCTTGTGCCAGTCAGGCCGCCCAGGCTGGGTGCGCGTCTGCAGCCCCGTGATGGAGTCTTTCTTTTCCTTCTTGGCCAGGAGGTCAAGGGCCATCTGCAGGCCAATGACCTTCATGTCATTCTTGTCCAGTGCAGATGTCATGTACATGTGCAACTCCAGGAAGCAGCCTGTTGGGCAGGAGACAAGGGCTGCACTGAGGGTCTAGCGCCCGTGATGGGCGCAGGGCAGGATGTTGGTCACTACCTTACCCTGGGGCTCGGAAGGAGACCCATAGATCTTGGAACTCACACCATCAGCCAACAGTGTTTGCCCAGGCTGTGTCATGTGACCAGTGCCAAGGAGAGGAAAGGCAGTCTGTTGCTTGAGCTGGGCCTACTATGTGCATGGCACACATTAGTTACTTTATATACACTAAGGTGAGCCTTACAACCACTCCAAGAGTCAGACCTTTTATATCTATTTATTTAGTATTTTTGTACAGACAGGGTTTCACTATGTTGCTCAGGCTGGCCTTGAACTCCTGGACTCAAGTGATCTACCTGCCTCAGCCTCCCAAAGCACTGGGATTACAGGTATGAGCCACTGTGCCCAGCCAAGACTTTTTGTATTTATAAAAGGAGAAATGCATCCCAGGGCAGTGACCATGGCAGTCCCTGGGCTCCAAAGCTCATACCCTTCCATGCCTCACATGTCTGTCCTCAGCCTGGCTGGGGACACAAACCATACACACATGGAAAGTAATTTAGACTAAAGGGTCAAGGGTCGAGTAAATGGATCAGAACGTGAAGGCTACTGATACGCAGGGAAGGGCTGATGCAGACAGGGCTGCTTCCCGGAAGGGACGGGGACTGGGTTAGGTGTGGGACGAAGGGCGAAAGTAAAAGCGAAGATGAAGGGAATGCATGCTAAGGACCAGTGTCAGCACAGAGTGAGAGGCTGGAACAAATGCGACGTTCACGATGTTCACGGGGCAGGGTGTGGTGCCCGGCTAGAGATGCATCCTCAGATGGGAGCGAAAGGAGATGGGACTGGAAACAGGGGGAGGCCAGAATAAGAAGGGTCTTGAATGCCCGGCTAGGAAAGGGGGAGGGTTGAGAGTAACTGAGTAGGGAGTGACATAGTGAAACAGAGCTTCGGGAAAGGGCATGGGAGGGCTGAAGAGACAGGGGAGGAGCCTGGCACCAAGGAGCCCACAAGGTCAGAGCACCTGCAGTTCTGCAGCGCGAAATTCTAGCCTGCTGGGATACTGATCCTTCAGCACTCCACAGCTCCCACATGGGCACCTCTGTGTGCCATATCCAGACGTGACAGACGAATGTTGTCATTTTTATGTGTGCCATGATGAGAAAAAGATTGGTGAGTGCTGCCTTGGGCTTGTGTGTGGGTTCAAGCCAGGGCTGGCAGGCCCTGATTTAGGATGTGGGAAATAGCATTCCTGAGCTGAGGATCACCTCATCCCTCTCTCCCTCTCCTCCCCCACACCCAGACGAAAGGAGCTTTGCCATTCCAACGTGCTCTCTACCCTTTCCTATGTCACTATCAGCCATCTTTCATTTGGCCTAAGGTCTCAGCGGCTGTTGCAATGCAAATGGCCCTGGGAGGGATAGCACATTTCATGTCACATGAGAGAGGGAGATGTATTATGAGATGCCCACCTGGGGGAACCCCGCCCCTTCCTACCCTCCCTCAGAGTCTCCCTACTCCAGAGAGGGGTAAGAAGAGAGAAGGGGAGACACCATGGTGGGAGGAAGAAGATAAAGGGGCTGTGGAAGGATCTGGCATGGTCTCACCCTCTCTACCCAGCTGTGTCTGAGACAGCCATCTCATTTCTGGGACGCTTTCCTAAGAAAACCATCCAAAGCAGGGAAAAATACTATGTGCACAAATATGTTAATTTCAGTGTTTTTTTTTTTAGGATTATGGAGAATTCAGAATAAACAAAATGTTCAGCGGTAGGAGCTTGGTTAAATAATTTATGGTATGACCACTGACTATACCATTCATTATATAGCCATTAAATATGACTACTCCTTTTATTAAACAGTTATTACTACTAGCGCTTCTATTACTAACAAATTTATTAAGCAGTTACTATTACCACCAGCACTAAATTTATCTAGCAGTTTATTAAGCTCCAGTCACCGTGCTACTGTTCCGCAGAGGACACCTCATCTGATTCCCATTACGATCCTACGAGGTGGGTACTAGCAGCGTCTATTTTTTTCAGATAACCGTTTTCGAGGCAAAGCAGTGAAATAATGTGCCCAAGGTCCTATGGCTATTAAGGCTAAAGATACAAACTCAGGATCATTGATGCTGAAGCTATAGAAACTGAAAATTATAAACCAAAAATTATTTAATGCAAACTCTGACGTATAATTAAAGTGGAAATCAGAAGCCATGAATTTCAGCTGCAGGTAATGAGAAACCCTGAAAGAAATTTGATGTGATGGAGTTGTTGACTCAAGTGGCTTTGGGAATGCAGAGCACTGGGTTAGCTATTACCCTTTGTGTATACAGATTAGGAAGAAGCAAACAGCAAATATTTATGTGCCAGTAACTAGAAAATTTAAATTAAATTTAAACTTTTCCTTTAGCTTGTCATCACAAAATTGAGGTCCTAATGAATTAGTATATGTAAAAGCATTTAGAAAAAAGAAGTCAATGCTATACAAATATTTGCTGTAATTGTTATTTACAAGAAAGGGCAGGGAGTTTTACTGAACTATTCTAAGCTTGAAGAGTTATCTTCCAAAGACTGTTGACTTGAACTTTAAGCCTCTGAATGTTTATTATGGTAAACTATATCTGTTTGGATAGTTTCTTGTAGAAAACTATGTTTGATTACTTGAACGTATAAACTGTTTATCATTGGAATTTGAATTTACTCTTGACAACCTGATTATTAAATAGTTAAATACAATCTAGTTCTAATGAACTCAACAAGTCTAAAACACTACACCAATTCTCTTAAAAAGTTAGAAACATATCCAAAGATATTTCTCCTTGTATAAATTATAAACAAAACAATGATTTTAATAGATTAACTTTTAAATACAGTATAAACCCTCAGTATTCCACAAAGATGTCCCGTGATATGACTCAGAGAAACATTTTATCATACTTAGCTCCATCATATCATACTTAGTCCATACAAATTTTCAGGACTAATGATGAGAATAAATGCTTAGTAAAAAACGAGAACACAGCAAACACCTGGGCAGTGAGGAGGGGGGTTGGAGGGGTTGAGGGGAGGACATTCAAACCTTCTTTTTTTTTTTTTTTTTTTTGAGACAGGGTCTTACAAGGTGAGACAAGGTGTTTGCAGTCGAAAGCCAAAAAAATTTCTCACCAGCAGACCTGCACTACAAAGAACCATCAGCTCTTCAAGCAGAAGGAAAACTTTACGAGATAGAAATCCAGATCTAGGCACAAAAAGGGAAAAGAACCCAGAAATGCTAAATACATCTATAAAAATAAAAAATGTGTTCTTCTGATTTTAAAATTTCTTTTTCAAAGATAATTGGACAATGGTGGTATACCCATGAAACAGAATACTACTCAGCAATGAAAAGGAACGAATGACTTATCGATGCATACAACAACACGGATACATCTCGAAGGCATTATGCTAAGTGAAAGAAGGCAGATGGAACAGACTACATATTATATGATTCCATTGATATAAAATTCTATAAAAGGCAAAAGTATAGTGATAGAAAGCAGACCAGTGGTTGCAGGGGTTATGAGTCAGGGGAGGGTGTTGACGGCAAAACAGGATGAGGAAATTTTCAGAACTAATGGAAAGAAATGGTCCATATTTTGATTGCAGTGGTGGTTACACTGCTTTATGCATTTGTCAAAATGTCATTTATTATACACTTAAACTGGTAAATTTTATCGTATGTAAATTATACTTCAAAAACCAAACACAAATTAAGTGTGAATAAGAATCGTTTGAGGAGCATGTTAAAATGTACATTCCTGAGCCCAACTCTCAGAGAATCTATCTGATTTGGAAGGTCTGGGATGAGGCCTAGGAATTTAAATTTTCAACATGTGCCTATTCTGAATTAAAAGATATGTCATGAAAAAGATAAATTACGAAAATAAAGACATATATTTTTATAAAATGTGAATAGGAAAACAGAAAATGGGAGGGAACCCTTTAAAATGCCTGGTGTCGTCTGGATAACTGGATGAGTCGATGAGGGATTTTTTTTTTTCCTCCTTCTGTTTTTCAACTTTACGAAATGTTACATTTTGTAGAACCTTCTTGTTTTCGCAGAACCTCACCCATCCTTCTTCTCCAGAAATGGAATAAACGCCTTCTCAAAAAGACTCTGAGTTAGCCTGGGCAATATAAGAAGACTTCATCACTACACAAATTAAAACAACATCAGCGGGAGTGCTGGCCTGCATCTGTGGTTCCAGCTACTCTGGAGGCTGAGGCAGGAGGATGGGTGGAGCCTGCAAGGTGGAGGCTGCAGTGAGCCATGATCCTGCTGCTGCCCTTCAGCTTGGGTGACAGAGGGAGACCTTGTCTCAAAAAAAACAATACTCAGTTCACGTTAATGGTTAAATGGTTCATTTTAGGTTATGTGAGTTTCATATCAATACATTACTTTTTTTAAAGACACTGCGCCGTTCCCATTGCCCTCAGGCACCATCCCTCTCCTACCACATTGAGCCTCCTTGGCCTGGTCCATCTTCAGTTTGGTCAGCAAGCTCACAAACCAGTCGAGAGACCGTTGGTCTCTGCTGATCCAGATAAAGTCCACCTAGGGAGAGAGGCCCTTCAGTTCAGAGGCTGAGTCTCCCTCAATTGCAGGAGGTTCACATCTGCGACCCCTGGGACCCATATGACCACCCCGAGGTAAGCAGGGAACATTCGCATACCCATTTAAGAGAGGGAAAAATCAAGGCTCATAGAGGTGAGCAGCCACGCCCACATCACAGAGCAGCATGGGACCAGAACCAGGTTTCTGACTCCAAGCCTGGGATTTTCTCTAATGCCTTCTATTGTTTACGACAAACAGTGTATTGAAATATTAGCTTAGGATACCCAGAAAAACATGAATTACTTTTTTTAAAATTTAATTTAATTTATTTATTTATTTTTGAGACGGAGTCTTGCTCTGTCACCAGGCTGGAGTGCAGTGGCACGATCTCAGCTCACTGCAACCTCCACCTCCCGGGTTCAAGTGATTCTCCTGCCTCAGCCTCCTGAGTAGCTGGAACTGTAGGCCCACATCACTATACCCAGCTAATTTGTGTATTTTTAGTAGGGATAGTATTTTCACCATGTTGGCCAGGATGGTCTCAATCTCTTGACCTTGTGATCTACCCACCTCAGCCTCCCAACGTGCTTGAATTGCAAGGCGGGAGCCACCCCACCCTGCCAAAAATATGAATTACTTTTTTAGAAACTCTTCTAAGTGGCCTATATAGGATGGCGAATTTTCAAAAGGCAAGCATGTTTTCATTATGATTATTATTTTCTTTTTTGAGATAGAGTCTCACTCTGTCACTGAAGCTTGAGTGCAGTGGCATGGTCTCAGCTCACTGCACCCTCGGCCTCCTGGGCTCAAGTGATCCTCCCACCTCAGCCTCCTGAGTAGCTGGGACCACAGGTATATACCACCACACCCAACTAATTGTTGTATTTTTGGTAGAGATGGGGTTTTGCCACGTTGCCCAGGCTGGTGCTGAGCTCTTGGGCTCAAGTGATCTGCCTGCCTCAGCCTCCCAAAGTGCTGGGATCATAGGCTTGCGCCACTGTGCCCAGCCAGTATATTTTCATTCTTAAAACCACCATAGGGTCATGGATAGGTAACATCATGGCTGTAACTGAATCCAGACTTCCTGACTATCAAGTTATGCAACCTTAAAAGAAATGTTCAGAACATCTCTCAGAGGGGATGGGAACGTTAAGTGGGGGCGGGGCTCACACATAGAGGAGGCACCAGGAGAACTCATTTAAGACAACTCAGGGTACTGTGGGAAAGAAAGACGATCCCATCAGGGATCCCTTCCCCACTCCCACCTTGGCACAGGAGGATGGGCTCCTATTTTAGGAGTTGTCCAGGGGAGAAGGTCTGGAGGCCTGCCTACAGGAGATGGTACACACCTTATGGAGCTTCATGTTGTCTTGGACACCTTCTATCCAGGAGTGCTGGCAGTTGGAGCAAACACGCTTTCCTTTTCTGGTGCCCGAGGGGAGGCAGGAGGAAGGGGTTTGAAACTTGGGGTGAGACTTTGCAGGACCCCAGAGAACAGTTCGTGGGACAGGGAGCAAGGATGGGGTGGCAGAGCCCACTGTATGAGGAAGGGGAAGGATGAGACACAAAAAGGAGAGGGGGACAGAGCAGGAGAGAAAAGAGACCAAAGAGCAGAGAGGGACAGGAGAGCAGAGGGAGACAGG